AAAACGCAATGTCAAAATAATGCCAATGCGATCCCAACCGATGCAATGCCATTGGGGTAACTCCTTTGTGGCATATCTCAATAGGAATATTTTTGTGGAGGGCGTCGTATGTCATCCTTTTGTGCCTGGTATCAATATAAACATTTGTATGTGAAGGTTTGCCGTAGAATGCCTTCTAGAAGGTTGTAACAGGAGTCCTTTCGTGGAGGTCCCCATCAGGACTTCCCAGCGCAATGCTTAAGAACTGCCAGCGCAATGCGAACGCACTGCGAAGCGCAATTCCAGCGCAACGCCAATGACATGCCGAACCATTGACAACCCAATGCCAAAGTCATGCCATTTGGGGGAGACTCTTCTAAGCACCTCGCTAACAGTCCTTCTGCGGCTGATGCCGACAGGATCCAATTGTTAGTTGATCACAATGGGAATATTTATGTGGATGGTTTCGAAAAGAACCCTTATGTGGAGGATTTACTTTATGAACCCTTCCTGTGGGGGCCTTCAATAGGAATCCTTCCATAGGTGAGGCAGAAGAAACAATATCCGATTGTTTATGTTTTTTTGTTTTCGCAGCCCCCTCCTCCCCCCCCCCCCGAGAAAGAAAAAAAAAAAAAATGGCGGTTGCGCCGCCTTTTTTTTTTGTTTTGGGGGGGTAGGAATCCATTAGTGGAGGATTTCAATGGATTTTTTTCTCTGAATGGATTCAATTGGAATCCTTCTGGTGACGGATGCAATAGAAATCCTCATGTGGACGGTTTCGAGTGATTATGTCAATGCGCCCCCCCCCAAAAAAAGGGCGGCCGCGCCGCCGATTTTTCCAAACCATCCTGTGGTGTTGGGTCCTCGTTTTGAAGAAACGGTGGCCTGCGTCTCCTCCCCTCTCCTCTCCTCCTCCTCCTCTCCTCCTCCCCTCTCCTCCCTGCGTTTCACCCACCCAGTACAGCGCTTCGTGGCCCCATTGGGAGCTCCACCGAAGGCCCCAGTGGCCGCGTTCGCATGGCGGCCCCGCCCCATGTCGGCATACCCCTCACGAGGATCGTGGCCCCATAGGGAGCTCCACCGAAGGCCCCAATGGCCGCGTTCGCATGGCGGCCCCGCCCCATTCCGGCATACCCTTCACTAGGATCGTGGCCCCATAGGGATCCCCACCGAATGCCCCAGTGGCCGCGTTCGCATGGCGGCCCGCCCCATTCTGGCATACCCCTCACGAGGATCGTGGCCCCATAAGGGAGCTCCACCGAACGCTCCAGTGGCTGCGTTCGCATGGCGGCCCCGCCGCATTTTGGCGCACCCCTCACGAGGATCGTGGCCCAATAGGGAGCTCCACCGAAGGCCCCAGTGGCTGCGTTCGCATGGTGGCCCCGCCCCATTTTGGCGCACCCCTCACGAGGATCGTGGCCCCATAGGGAGCTCCACCGAAGGTTCCAGTGGCTGCGTTCGCATGTGGGCCCCGCCCCATTTCGGCACACCCCTCACGAGGATCGTGGCCCCATAGGGAGCTCCACCGAGGGCCCCAGTGGCTGCGTTCGCATGGCGGCCCTGGGCCATTTCGGCGCACCCCTCACGAGGATCGTGGCCCCATAGGGAGCTCCATCGAAGGCCCCAGCGGCAGCGTTCGCACGGCGGCCCCGCCCCATTTCGGCGCACCCCTCACGAGGATCGTGGCCCCATACGGAGCTCCACCGAAGGCGCCAGTGGCAGCGTTCGCATGGCGGCCCCGGGCCATTTCGGCACACCCCTCACGAGGATCGTGGCCCCATAGGGAGCTCCACCAAAGGCCGCCCCGCCCCATTTCGGCGCACCCCTCACGAGGATCGTGGCCCCATAGGGAGCCCCACCGAAGGCCCCAGTGGCAGCGTTCGCGTGGCGGCCCCGGGCCATTTCGGCACACCCCTCACGAGGATCGTGGCCCCATAAGGGAGCTCCACCGAAGGCCCCCGTGGCCGCGTTCGCATGGCGGCCCCGGGCCATTTCGGCACACCCCTCACGGGGATCGTGGCCCCATAGGGAGCTCCATCGAAGGCCCCAGTGGCAGGGTTCGCATGGCGGCCTCGGGCCATTTCGGCGCACCCGTCACGAGGATCGTGGCCCCATAGGGAGCTCCACCGACGGCCCCCAGTGGCAGGGTTCGCATGGCGGCCTCGGGCCATGTCGGCACACCCCTCATGAGGATCGTGGCCCCATAGGAGCTCCACCGAAGGCGCCAATGGCAGTCTCCCTCATGGCTCTCAGAACCCTTTCCTGCTTCTGCTCTTCGGTCAGGGGGACGCCGTCCTTGTGGTCGTCGGCGCCCGCGAAGACGGCCACAAACATGTCCCTGAGCATGTCGAGCTCCGGCGGGAAGCCGTGGCCACATAGGGAGAGCGCGGGCGAAGATAGTATTCACAATTGCTGCATCCACAATTGCGTATGGTTGGGTCCCTCACCAGGCTAATTCTTCGGGGGGGGGGAGAGAAACAATCTGGGGCAGGGGAGGAAGGGGAGGAGGATTAGCAGGGAG